CCTGGGTCCTGACTTCAATACATGTATGCAGAAGTTGGTCATGTAGTCTTCAAACATCTATTGTGTATAAAACTAAACCTGGATTAACTGTCAGCTTCAAAGTTACAGAATTAAAATAATTAAGGCGATAACAGAATAAAGTACAACTAATAAAAAATACTATAATGGGGTTTTGAATGAGAGCTCACTCCAAATGAAATTCAGATCAGGAAGAAAAGCGTGAGCATTATAGTTTATCTGTGCTCTCCCTCATCCCACCTGCACTTCCAGCCAAATGCTGGAACGGGGAGCATCCTTGGGAGGTGATTAGGTCATACGAGAGTGGGCCCCCCCCAAAAATAGGATCAGTAATGGCAGAGGGACCTCAAGAATGGCATCCGCGCTTGTTCAAAGAAGTGTCCGGAGAGCTACCTAGTGACTTTAGCCACTTACAAGAATACAAGCCAGGCTGGAGCAATGGCTCAGCGGTTAAGAGCATTGCCAGCTCTTCCAAAGGTCCTGAGTTCATTTCCCAGCAACCACATGGTGGCTCACAACCATCTGAAATGAGGTCTGGTGCCCTCTTCTGGCCTGCAGGTATACATGTAGACAGAATATTTATACATAATAAATAAATATTTAGAAAAAAAAGAGAATACAGGCCCTCCCTGAACACACAAGTCCTGCCAGCACCTTGATCCAGAACATCTCAGCCTCTGGAATTGTGAGGAATGAGTTTCTGTTGTGTGTAAACCACACACTCTATATTTTACTAAAGTACTTAAAAAAAAAAAACAAGATCACTACATAATTGTTATTAAGTCACAGTTAAGAATCATGTAACCTAACCTTAGAGGTCAAGGAAGCCAAAACCTATACAACCTAAGAGCTTTAAAATAGGAATTTTCACCCTTTAACTGAATCTATTCATTTTAAAACTACTTTTGCTAACAATGAACTCAGATACCACACAATTCATTCACTTACTGTATCTGTTTTGCTCTGTTAATGTAGACACAGGGACGCATAAGTGTGGCCACTATCTAATTTTAGCAAAATTTTCCTCCAAAATGAAATCTTATACCTATTTTAGGAAGCCAATAGTCTACCTTCAGCCTCTCTGCAGTGCCTCTTCGGGGTATGGCACAATATGTAACCTTTGGTTTCTTTCCCTTAGCAAGCATTTTCAACGTTCATATATGTGGTGGCATGGTGTTGATTTCATTCCTTTGTAGTATCAAGCCATGTTCCATTGGACCAATCCACCACATCTTATTTAATCAACGATACATATTTGGCTTATTTCCAACTTCTGGTTTATAAGTAATACAGCTCTGAACACTGAAATGGGTGCTTTTATGTGGGACGTGTGTTTCTCTTGGGTGTATATATAAAATTGGCAGGTTACACGACATCTGCTCGCTTAAGAGGTTCAGAAACTCCCAGGCTGGTTCCAAAGTTGATGGATCATTTTCTGCTTCTATCAGCAGGAGCCGAGGGGTCCAACTTCTCTATATGCTCCCCCGGCCAAGTGCAAAATGTCATGCAATTTATTCTTACTCTTTGATTATTTATCTTTAAAATTATCAATTGATTCATTTATTTTACTCTACATATATGAGTATTTATATCTGCATATATGTATGTGTTCCTTGTATGTGCTTGGCACATCAGGAGGGAAGAAGAGAGAGTTGGATTCCCTGGAATTGGGGTGATGGGCGTTGTAAATTTCCATGTGGGTTCTGGGAACCAAACCTAGGTCCTCTGCGAGAGCAACAAGGGCTCTTAATCACTGTGACACCTCTCCGGCCCCGTCAATCTTAAATGAATGTTCTACGCCACACCCTTCATTTGTGTGTCTTAAAAAACAGTCTTTACCTCACAACTCCCAGAGTAGCTGGATTTGTGTTCCTGTGGAATCGACAGTCGTCTGATTAAAAATTATCCGCCCAAAAAAGAAAATCTCTTCCAAAATTAAAATCACCTGAAGCACACATCACAAGTATGGAATGTAAACCAGCCAAGACAAGCTATGAATAATTAAAAGAGCTCAGGTGGAAGGCTTGAGAGAAGGCCCCGGGGTAAAGAGCAACGGCCGCTCTTCCAGAGGGCCCAGGTTCAATTCCCAGTACCCACATGGAAGTTCACAACCCTCTGACGCGCCAGTCCCAGAGACCCTCTGAGGCCCTCTTCTGGCTTCTAAGGGCATGTCATGCACACACGGTATATAGAGCTAACTGCAGGAGAAATAACCAGACACGTAAAATAAAAAAGGGGGAAAAAGATGGCCCGATGGAAAGAGCTATATCTAGCGAGAGAGCAGATGGGAGGGGTGGGCGTCAGGAGAGTGAGCCCGGGAGCGTCTTGCTTCACTCCGAGGGAAGATTATGATAGAGAACCACAGGTGATGTCTCCTTCATTCACTGATTTGAGGTGTTTCTCCACGAGTGCACTGGGAGAAAGGGGCGTGACCCAGACACACAGAAGAAACCTCATGGGGGGATCTTCTGCTCAGGAAGCTAGGGCACGTTAATAATCATATCATCAGGCAGATGAGGACCTCCCCTGACAAGTCTTTGCTGTCGGCACAATAATTGAAGAAGACAGCCATCCACCCGCTCAAGAGTGAGACTCAGGGGAAGGGAACATTGAACACCCAAGCCTATCGCTCATGAAATGTGACATTCTGGGTTTTTTTTTTTTTTTTTGAGACAGGGTCTTGCTCTGTACCCTTGGTGCGGGAGAACTGTCTGTATTCTGTCAATCTTGTTTTTTTTTTTTAAAGATTTATTTATTATGCATACAATGTTCTGTTAACATATATACACCAGAAGAGGCACCAGATCTCATTATAGATGGTTGTGAGCCACCATGTGGTTGCTGGGAATTGAACTCAGGACCTCTGGAAGAGCAGCTAGTGCTCTTAACCTCTGAGCCATCTCTCCAGCCCTGTCAATCTTGTTTTAAATAAACGCTGATTGGCCAGGCAGGAAATACAGGTGGGAAAACCAGACAGGAAGTAGAAATGATGTAATGAGAACAGGAGAATTCTGGGAAGGAGGAAGCTGATTCTTCCCACTCCTGCCCAGACCACCGAAGCAGCAGGATGTGAGCTGCCCCACTGAAAAAAAGGTACTGAGCCACATGGCTATCATAGACCAGAAAAATGGGTTAATCAAGATGTGAGAGTTAGCCAGTGAGAGGCTAGAGCTAATGGGCCAATCAGCTTATAATTTATGGAGACCTATGTGTGATTTTCTTTGGGGCTAAACAGTTGTGGGGTACCGGGTGGGACAGAAACCCAAACAAGGAGGCCTGGCCCTTCATGTTACATACCCTAGGCTTGTCTTGAGTTGACTGTGTAGCCCAGGCTAGCCTCTAAGCCATGCCAATCCTGCTCCGCCTTGCAAGGGATGAGATTACAGGTGTGAGCCTTCACCCTCGGCCCTAATTGTGGGGTCCAGGTCAGTCTAAGCAGTTGCTGGGCGTCGTTTCAATCGATTGATGTAGACTTAGCTACAGCGATGCCACGTCCTCCCCGGTGTCCCTGCTTCTGTCTTCCTAGTCAGACTGTAATGCTTTTGACTCACTACCACTGGACCTGTGACCCAGGGCCATAATCGCAGATCATTGCCTTGATGGCCTCTAAACTCATGCCTGACCCTACTAAACCCTTGTTCGGGAACGAGAGAACTTGTCAATCAGCCCTGTAGGAATCAAGTCAGTAGTTCCCATGAGTCCGAGTTCCTCCTCTCACTAAAACAAACGCTTTGACTGCAAGGGGCTCTGGGAGAAGATGGCTGGGAGTGGAAATTGAGGTTGTAGAAGGCACTTCTGGGAAAGCAGCTTGTATAGCAAACTTTACCGGCCCCGTTTACCTTGAACGCTCTTCCCCCGGGAGTGAGCTCACACCCCATGTCCTTCATGCTTCCCTATCTACCACGAAGACGTCCCCAAACACCTGTACAGAATGTTCCCATCTTTCCACAGACTCTGGCCTCAGCCTACAACGTGGTATTAATCACCTCTGGGCACACAGTTTCTTTACTTGCCCTCTTGCCTGTCTCTTTTCTTCAAAGGGCACGCCTCTGAAGTGAAAGGCTTAACTGCTTGGTAGGGGTGCTCAAAGCCTGGCTTTGCAAAAAAAAAAAAAAAAAAAAAAAGACTCTCATTGTTACGTACTTTAAATAACATGCCATTATAGTCCTCTTTGTAAGTGTGATACACCCATACTTCATATAGGAAGAGAAACCGGGGTTCATTATACAAAATCTAGAAACTATATTATCGCAGTCCAGAGCACGGTTCGTGGAACCAGATGATCTGGGCCCCAGCACAGTTTAGCCATAGCCTGTCTTGGGGATGCCAGGCAGGCTGCTGAGCCGCTTTGGCTCCGGAACATCTCATGCTTAAGGTGCTTCACCGTGCGTGACGTGAGAAGCCTCTACGTATCTATCAAGACCTTAGACAGTGCACGGTTCACAGGGGGTGTCAAGCAAGCGTCCAATAAAAAAAAAATGTTCACTAGGGGAACACCTTCGAACAAAAGCAACTTTCTCATTGGGACTCGTCACTCACGTCCAACGCCCCGATTAAAACTGGGCTTTCTGGCTAGCCGTCTGCACAGGAAGACGTCATCACTCTGGTCTTTATGTGCTTCTGGTTATAAACTAGGGAGCTGATCAAGGTGCAGCCAGGCCAGGGCTCTGAGCTTGGCCAGCGACTTGCACAATGGCGCACTGATTCGTAACTACACTCTCTAAACCACACGGCCATGCCTTAGTCTCCTGTTTACAACACAAGTCACACCACACAGGAGGGTAAGTAAGTGTTGTCCGGAAAACGGTAAGAGAGCACAGACCGAAGAAGGTCCAGGGAAAGGAACATGGACACCAAACCCATGCTTCTTGCAGCAACCTGTCTGGGCAGGTTTGCACTGAACGAGGAGATGGGATGTTTGTCCCTGCAAAAGTCGAGGGAAACCCCAAAAGCAGCCGCAGCCGCCCAGCGGCTCAGGTTACCTTGCCCTGATGGTCATGCTTCATCTCCCAGCCCCTCGGTAGCTCCAGCTGCTTGTTTGCAAACATGTTGAGGAAGCCCACGAGGTCCCGGTTATGCTGATAGCGTTCGAAGTGGTGGGTGTCCCGCCGGACTTTGGTGATCATGTGCTTCAGACACGTGTTGTTTGTAAACATACGGTAGGCACTCTAGAGGGAAGACGACGACAAACAACGGTTAGGCTGTCCGCGTGCACGGGCCTGGGAATCACCGCACGGCAGATACCGGGTCCTTTGATGGTGTGGAAAACATGAACACAGGCTTCTGCGTCACCCCAAACCCACATATGGAAACAGCCAAAGGAGCAAACTGACTCGGCACACACAGAAACTGTAGAAAGCGAGGCCCTTCATGACTGGTTTCTAGTGTTCTTTTTCTCCCTACTTCTGCTTCCCCCTCCCAGCCCGTTTGGTTTTTTCAGGACAGGATTTCTTTGTATAGCCCTGGCTATCCTCAAATTCCCTCTGTAGACCAGGCTGGCCTTGAACTCACAGAGATCCACCTGCCTTTACCTCCCTAGTGCTGGGATTAGAGGTGTGCACCACCACTGCCCAACCTGGTTTTTAGCTTTCTGAGAATAAGTATAGGACATTAGATCCTAGGGTTGGTCTTAAGAAAACACACAATCGCAAGTGTATGATGTTGGGGATAAACATACCACCCGACAGTGAACCCCAAGAGTCTGCTCTTCCTCCAGCTTTGGAGCAGGTCCCTGGCTCAGAGGGTCAGACAGTGTAGAAGCATAGAGTTAAGGGTCGCGCTGTTTGGAAAATGCTTACTCTATATTTGGATATCAGAAACACACTAACAAGGTGAGTTGCTCTTTAGTCAATCATGTCCATGGAGACCACAGCAGACAGAGACACTCATCTGAAATCCTGCACCCTCCTGGGTAGGTGGGGGCAGATGCTTAGGGAGCCAGGGCGTAGTTAGAACACCTTGGAGACCATCCCTCACTGTTTTGTCTTGTTTTGGTGGTCCCCACCCACCCCCTTGTCCACACACACAGCTGCATTGATTAAAACACACGTTTAATAAAATACCACTCTACCGCCACCCTCAAACCAAAAAGATTATCTGGTTATAAACACTACTATTTAAACTCATTATCAAAGATTGCGAAACCTGCCTGTGTCTCAGACTGCCCACACCTCGGTTCTTCAGCAAACGCGTGAGCTAATCTGCGTACTTCGCAGCAGAAAGGGATCTATGCTCCTGAGTCACTAGGAAAGTTGATACCCAGGAAGCCGACCAGGCTATCAATCATCCGCCCTGGAATTCTATTCCTCATCAATACAGTGAAAGGACTCCTGAGTGCCCTGCTTTTCAGCATCGCAGAGGTACTAGGATTGGTGGAGTCTGAGGTCTTAGGGCTTTCCTTCATGGGCTTTGTTATTTCTTTCAGTCTTAGCCCAAAGTAACTTGCGCAGACCTCAGAGTACCTGGACACAGTGCCAACGGAATGACCATTTCCCATCTGTCTGTGTCAGTACTACGTAGCTATCAGTACAAAAGATGTGACACAGCAGTCTCTCCAGGGTCCTCCGGAGTAGTCACATCCAGCTCACACATTTTATGGCTCATTGTGAAGCCCCACGGAGCTTTCTTCCCTTTGGTGTGGTAAGCACGGGAAGTGGGAACATTCCAGCCTAGCTTGTGAGTGTGTTGGGATCATGAGAATTCTGGTAATCTTACTTGGAATGAAAACACAGCTTAGTTAGCTTAACTTGCTGGCATTTGATAGTTCCTGTGCCTGGTGTGTAACAAAAAAGGGTTCTTATTAGCGCCCTCTCATAGATAGTTATTGCTTCGCATTTAAAATATTTTTCCCTATCAATACATATAATAGAAGGAAGGAGGGAGGGAAAAGGGAAGGAAGAGACAAAGGGAGGGAAGGTGATCAGCTATAATAAACCAATCTCAGATCTTAGTTCCTTAAACCAGAGTCTTAAATACCATAAGGCATTTCAACTTGCCAGTCTAAAGGCGAACTGTTTTTGATGGCTGGAGGCTTTGTGTGGTCCAGAGCCTCAGGACTGCAAAGCAGGCAGGAGATCAGGGAACATGAGAGCATGGGAAAATGATTCTATGAAGACAGGGGCGGGGGTCTAACAAAATAAGTTGGAGGTTGCCAGAGAGAAACTTGGGCTAGCGAATCGTTTATCCTGTGGTTAGCCCGACTTGAGGTTTTCACTGCCATCAGCAGGCGCTTGCTTCCTGTACTGGCTCTGTGTTCCTCACACAGCCACGACAAGTTTCAGTGCCCGAGACCGCACCAGTCTGTGCGGTGATGACAAAGAACTTTCGGGTCATTCTGTGTAACAAGCCTCTCTGGGGACAAACGCTTGCACGCTGACTGGGCTGAAGAGATGGTGCACTGGCCATTGTTCTAAGTGGGTGTAGCAAAGGAGACGGGACACAGTGCTTCCTAATCCAGAGCAGCAAACCCGTCCCTCCTGTCTGCTCAAGAGAGGCAGCCCAGCTCCAGTAGAGCAGGACGTGGCAGTCAGGGTCAGGAACCCTTGCCAGCCTCGGGCTTGGTGCAATTCCCGGTGAATGGACGGCTCCTCCAGCGTGGGAATCCTACCCAGGTCTTATAATTAAGGATATCCTTTTATCTTCCTCCTCCCGACTCAGGGAGACACTGTGCCAGGTGGGACTGATCTTGGGAAAAAAAGCGCCTATCAAAGCAAATTAAGAGTAAGAAGTATTCTTTGCCCATTCGTAAGCAGTAAACAAGCTTTAGAATCATAGCCTTGCCAAGTCTGAAAAACGTCACCGTGACAGTCAGGGGCTGAAGAAAACAGCTCTCCAAGCTGTTCCCTCTTCATCGGGGAAGAATGTTTGAACAGACATATATGTAAGCAGGCAACACATACGCCGTACCGTGTATATATGTATACACGCATGATGTATAGTGTGCTCTGTCTAGGCAAACACATAAAGTTTAAAAAGAATATGTATACTCCAGTTTACACAGAATCCTGTTGTCACAGCTACAGAGACAGAGACTCTTAATCTCATTTGCCTCTGTTTGCTCAGCCGTGAGGAGTAATAACATACTAAGGTCCAAAACCAGGAGAATAGAGGATGTAAAGCTGCTTTGAGAAGGTCATTAGAGAATACAGGGCACATGTAATTAAAAGACTATCTGGGGGGCTATTCCAATCTAGCTAGGGTCAAATCAGACAAATGGAGCAGTAAAACTTTTCTACTCTTAGCCTTTGAAGCCCATGGGCCAGCCGCCCACTTTCTATTAGCCCAGGGGTCTCCTAACCTGTCATTAACTACCCACAGTTCTGCCCCGTGAAAGCCTGGGGTTACGGAACTCTGCAGTCAAAAGCAGGAGGCTGGTGCAGGACAGGGCGACAGAAAATCGGGTTGGAATAACAAAGGTCACAGGGCTGGAACAAACTGGCAGACCTAACGGAGCTAAGGACAAGGACAAGTGACACCCAGCAGGTGAGTTCAGACTGGAAGGGTGCGTCTTGTCTCGGTGGAGCTGGAGCGTGGCATTGGTGAGGCCTTGCTTTAAGAGAAAAGAGGGCTGGCTCGTCATTTCCGCGTTGCGGTGAGTGGTTCTAGCTAGGTAAATGGATCGGCTTTCTTGTCCAAAACAACAGCAAGCCAGGGAAGAGGGAATGTTGCTTAGTTCATACCACAGCCTCATGGCCCCAGGCAGGATGAGCTCTCTGGAGGTCTGGTCGTGGATTCCAGTGAGGCGGAGTGAGCAGGAGACCGTGAATGGGATATGAGGCACCTTTAAATAATATCTGACCGACCGAATGTCTGGGCTTCCCTTGATGGGAAGTCAGCACCCTGTTGAGCCTTTCCCAGCCTCCCCCTTCCATGTCGCCCATCTTCCTGAAATCAATATTCAGTGGCCGAGTCAACAGCTTCCTTGGCAGAATTCTGTTAAATCTGGAGCTCAAATGTGTCTCCCTTGGCTAAGTGTTTGAGGTTTTAGAAGTGAAAAACATCGAAAGGAGCTAAAAGGAAGACGGCAAAATAGGAAACACTCAGTTCTTAGCAACTGTGAGTGACCATCGAACCCTAGATCGATGCTGAAGGTCTTCTTTAGTGTTGTGGTGGTCCAAGCTCCTCCAAGTCTGGTTCTAGTCTCACCTAATTCTGTCAGTTTCAAAAATACCACTAAATACACGACTAATGAATAACACCTTTTATTCAGAGACTCTTCATCAAGAATAGGTATTTTAAATCGGATTTGGAAAACAGCATCCCCGACTTAATAGCCAATGCCTCTTGGGGCAAATATCAGCGATGTTGTATATCACTCACTTAAATAAAAACTATGATTAACAAAAGCAGGAAATACCGGTTCCAAAGTAGGCCATCTAGTATATGGAAATAATCCTGCTTGCTATCGTCTGTGTTAATACTGTTATTGATTAATTTGATTTTAAATAATTTAATTTTAAGTTGTTTTCAACTAGCTAAAGGATACTAGGGAGGGAAACTTTCTTTCATCAGCAGAAATACCTGCAACCTATCAGCCCACCCACTGTGCAACAGCAGAAACCCTTGTTTCTAAGAGCATGTTTAAGACATTATTTATAAATAATTATTTATTTATTTAATTCTTTATTAAGTCCTAAGGAATTCAGATAATTGAATGAATGCATTCCTAAAGCTTATTAAAAAGTCAGGGTAGTAATTTTTAGCATGTATGTTGAAAATATAATTCTGTTACATATAATTAAGTGCACTTCCCTGTAACATAAGTTAGACAAACACAGGCATCTCAACTACAAAGACTGGGCGCTAGGAACTAAATCTTGGGTTAGTTTGGAGGCAATTTGCAAAGAAATCTGATCCAACCAGCAGAGGGCAGTAAAACCACCTAAAAGTTATGGAAAGCAGGGAAACAGGTCAGTTTTCAGTTATGGGGACTGGATGATGCTTGCTTAGGTTTACTCTCCAGCATGCATTATCATGCAAATCGCTGCTCCGTGCAGTATGTGTTTCATGCTCATCTTTCAACATGAATTCATTTCTTCAAATTGTTTTAATAGAGAGAACAAGGAGAATTGCAAATGCCAACACTTCTTTCGAATGCTATTTACAATAACCTAAAGAAGGATTTACTGAAATATCTACGAGCTAAAAGAATTCAATCAAAAAGCAAGAAAATAAAAAGTAGATTTAAAAAAAATTCAGGAAAGTTTACTTTATAATATTTTCTACCAATCTCCAAATAAGGAAAAAACAGCGTCTGTCTCTCTCGCTTCACAGAGGTCGTTCCTATTCATCCCATAGCTCAAGACCTGAATAAGGAAAATGACAGCTACTTCGGTTCATGCCAAATATAAGTCAGAAAACAAGATTTCTTAACCTGCAGAACTGAAATGGACATGCGTATCTTCTAAACCAGTTTGGGTAGAAAAAAAAAAAAGAAAACCAAAGCCAAAAACGTGAAGTCTCTAGGGAAGAGTATTTTTAACTCCAGATGGGCTGTTCAGAGAAAGGAATTATAAAATTGCACCCAAGTATGGAAGGAAGAGAGAGAGAGAGAGAGTTAGAGAGAGAAAGAGAGAGAATTAGAAAGAGAGTTAGAGAGAGAAAGAGAGAGTTAGAGAATTAGAGAGTTAGAGAGAAAGAGAAAGAGAGAATTAGAGAGAGAGATAGAGAGAGAGAGAGAGAGAGAGAGAGAATTAGAGGGTAAGAGAGAGAGAGTTAGCACCAGACACCAAGCGACTGCAGGAAAGCCTGGGCTAAGCGGCTACAGTCGGCATCCAGTGCCTACAGGCCACAGCTGTGAGGAAGGCAGTGCGCGTGCGTTTACTCCATTCCTTTGAATGACCACACAGATCCCCGGGGCTCACTGCAGCCCTGTCGGAGCAGAATCTACAAGGAATCAACACGTTGCGTGTATCTGAAAAGGCCGATCAAATGAAAAACCACAGGTTTACACCACAGCTCATCAACTGGTTATGACACCACAGAGACGTCAGGAGCCCCACTGAATGATGTCCCTAGCATCGGAACTCAGTGGGGGATAGCGTTCACACTGCCAAAAATGGGAAATGAGAAGCAGGGCTTGATTCATTGTTTGGCAGCCTCTCCAGAGCACAGGCCCACAGGTAACAATCAACAAGGCATCCTTCAAGCCCTCCAGGCACTCTGCCTGTCTTGTCCACCACCAACTCTAGGGAAATCACAGGGATTTAACGAACAGACAGAATGAATAAACAAACAAATAAAACAAATAAGCAAAAATAAAAACAAATAAAAGCTTGTATTATCTGATTCTAAGCCAAAGCGCTTCTCTCTACGAGAGTTTCTGTGTCTTGTGACAATTCTAAATGTTAGTCTATCCCTCTTTGTAGAAAACCATCGTCTCCCAGACTCATGCCACACACAAGCTTGGGTTCAAGTCTGACTTCCCTGTGCCCTGTCTCCACAGCAGCGCTACACCATGGCACTGCTGGCCCAGCATCACTGATCGTCTCTAGCAATGACCACGATTTTACTTGACAGAACTGCTCCTTCTAGCTACACTGCTCTTGATGTCTGTGTCCGTAGGACAAGCTCTCGTTCGGCCTGCAGAACCCTTTGCAAATACATTCCCATCCGTGACCCCTTCCCTGTGCCTTCCCGGTGGAGTTACACACCCTCTGTTACACACCTGTTCTCACACATCCCTTCTGCATCATCTTCAAAAACAAAAAACCCTGCAATGTTACTCATTCCCTAGTATATACCAGGGAATGAATAGAAAGTCGGCAAGTGTGCAAAAGCCTAAGTCCTCGTGCAAGCTGCGAAGACCTTGCTACCTATGCTCTCTCCCCACTCAAGCCATTTTCGTTCCAAGACAAACCTGTAAACCAGGACATTGTGATGAGCAAATCCATGGAGATGCACATACTTATGAAGTTAGGCAGAAACACGTGAATATCAGTAAACAGGTACTCAGAAAGTACTCCACAGACACCTCCGGTACTAGTACTATGCCAGCGTCGTCTTTTCCTTTGGTCTAGTCTGATTTTCCTAAGATGTTTGATTTGTTCTGCCACATGCAAGATTTCCCCTTCCCTTCTAACTTCCCTGTTATTATCAGTTATTAATGTGATATCCTCACTCTTCAGGACCAACTTCGGGGTCTAATCGTCAGCTTCTAACCCACCAAATCTTGCCAACTTTCGGTTGCTTCTGCTCCCGCTGGGTCCTTCTCTAGTTGAGGCTCCTCTCGGCTCACACCCTGAGGAATGGATTCTACCCAGCTGACTTCCATAAACAATTAAGACAGCCTTTCTCCAATTAACATCTTCGGCAAAGCTGTTCCCTCAACCCTCGGAGTCTGATGGAATGACCCTCCTGGTAGGGTTTGACTGGATGTGATTCTCCCAACCCCGTGCCAAACCCCATTGCAATTCATTTGCGGAAACCTAATCACCAATAGGATGACATCAGGAGGTAACTCAGCCGTTACCTGAGGATCCTCCCCAGTAGAATTAGTGCCCCCGCCCTCCTTAAAGCAGAACCAAAGGCAGCTCTCACACCTTTTCAGGAGGGTGCAACTCATGAGCGATATCAGGACAGCACCTGACTCCAGGTCAGCCAGAAGGATCCTGAACTTCACAGCCCCCAAGATGGTGGGAAATGAACTCTTACTATTTATCAGCCAGTCCGTTCTAAAGGGTTTTGCCTTTGTTTGATTTTGGATGTCTGTTATATAGACTAGGCAGTGGTTGTTTTAAATGCAAATTACTCAGCGCAGCATTCCAAACACACAAAGCACTGGGGAGATACTCCCGATGGGTCCCAGCATCAGAGCGGGAGTCACGAGTGGGAGGGGATCATGAGCAGGGGTCATGAACGGCAGGACACGAGCGGGGGGGGGGGGGTCACGAGCAGAGGACACAAGCGGCAGTCACCAGTGGGGGTCATGAGTGGAAGGGTCACGAGCTGGGGGGGGCAGGTCACAAGTGAGGGGCATCATTGTCTTCGGCCCCGTGGTCCTTTCCAGCGTGTTCCTCCCGGTTTTGTTACTCACAGGGTTGGAATGCAGCACTGTGAAGAACTCTGGGCTGATGAGGAACTTCACAGGAGGAGACTGCAGCAGCAGCGTGAGCCTGGATCTGGAGGTAGAGTGGGGCAGGACGCTCTCCCGTCGGAAATCTAAGCAGAGATCACATAGGCTTTCAGGACTAAACAATAATGCTTACATCCATTGCTAGGACTTCAACTCCCTAAAAACAACATTTTTTTTTTTTTTGCCAAAGAATTCACGTGTAAACCAAACGATTCTTAATGGCACTACAATACACTGGCTCTCATTTCTAGTTATCAATGTGGTAATGCATCCGTAGCTTTTTGAAGATGGCTACTCTCTTGTTCCACTTTGACACACGTTCAGAGGCTACGGCGGTTTACAATCTGTTTGGCTTTGTGATCCTTTCCTCAGAACTCATGAAGGTTTAGTATCAGGAAAGACTTCTGTTGAATATTTTATTTTATTTTGTTTTTCAAGTTTTCTTATATCTACAGAAGAACAAGAATTCTCCGAAAGGATAGCTTATTTCTTAGAATCCCTTGTTCTTTTTCTCCATCTACGAGGTTGCGGCTAAAGGCCCTCTCTTACCTGCGCTGGCCGGGTGGAAGTCGGCTTCCTCCCCTGCCCCGTCGATAGCACTGGCGTTTTCCTCAGGCCTCTCATTGGTCATGGTTCTCCGGATGCTCTGATAACTGAAAACGTGAACCCGGCGTTACATTCCAGCCGCTGGAAGTCGCCCTAGAACCCAAAGTTCCAGGCCTCTCCACTTCAAGTGCTGGGTCCCAGGTTCCTGTCCTCCGCCTCAGGAAGCTCTCTTGCTTAATTGTAAATGACACCACATTGAAGCTCCGCCCTCCCATCTTTATAGACCATTTTCCTGACAAATTAATAAAACTTAAAACAACTGTGTCCCTTAACCAACGAAAACCTATCTGTAAGGAAGGAAAAAAACCAGGTTGATGTCCTATGACAATTAGCTTTTGACAGAGAAGGCCTGACTGCTTTGAAAATGTTAGGTGCATACGACTACATGGTAAGGGATGTTTGGCTTCAAATCCCCATTGTGTATGTTTGCCTTACTAAAATCCAATGCATTATAGGAATTACTACAGTTATTTTCTTTGTACTTCCCCAACCATGCATGTATGTGCGTTTATGTTTTGTTTTCTTTCCCCCAGGAGGAATCCAATGCAGTCTATGACACACACAGCTCTGTGGCAGGGACATCAAAGCTGAAAGCAGCCGAGTCTTCTCCTCTGCACACCAGGGAAAAGCCCAACCACGAGACAGAGCAGCGAGAGAGTATTAGGGGCATGCTCACCGCCGGTTCAGCTGTTCCATCTGCTGGATGGAGTTGGATCTCTGCAGGACCTGGGGGGCGGGGGGAGCAGTGGGCCGCTGCCACGTCGTAGTTCTGTTCACATGGTCCACGTAGAAGATCCTGCCGTGGCTGTCAATGCGCGCCTCCCAGTCTAAAGGGCAGGAAGGACACCAAGAGAGATGAGGAGGGGGAGGAGGAGCTGGGCCAGGAAGACGGCTCATTAAGCTCAGCGCAAGTTTTCCCTCCCGCGCACGCTATAATTTGTGGCTAATAACACACACCTCACTGCGTAGCCCAGCGTGCCTCCCCAGTCCACTTGGAAAGCTGTCGTTACTGGTTATTAAGTCTCCGAGGCATGGAGGATACAGAACCCTTAAAGAATTTCTAAATCTAAAGCATCTTTTCATGTTGCTCGCCCTCGGCCCTCTTTACCTGAAAGCACCTGTTTTCAAATGCAGGTGGTATCGTTTTTTGATAGTTTCACATCAAAAATGGTATCGGTGTTTACTTTTCACCCAGATTTCATCTTTTTTTTTCCTTCTTCTCCACCTGCGCCCTTCCCCCTCCTTTCCCAGCTTAGCAGAAATGTCCATGCGTATATTTTAGACACAATTGTGAAAAATGTAGGTTTTGGATGGAGAGTAGCTGGCTCTCTTCACACCCCGCCCCATATTTGATAGCATGGGAAGGTCCAACAGGAAGGCCCACGTGGGTAGAGACCCGCAAGGAGAGTGGAAAAGAGAGGAAACCACACACCGCGAGGGCATCTGTCCAGCTGCTTCTCCAACAGGGCACCTGACAGAGCCGCATGCTCAGCCACGCTGTGAGCTGCTCTCACAAATGTAAACAGACTTCACATTTTGTGCTGATTAGGAGTAGGTGAGTGCAATTTAGGCTGTGAGCCATTTCTCCCACACCCCTAGTCCTCAGCCCCCAACTCAGGGGCTCAGTGTCTTCTGGAAGTAGAAGAATGAAACGCTCTTTATATCCTCATACTATGATTACATCCCCCCCTCCAAAAGAAACTACAGGCTAATTTCTGAAATTAATAACATGCCCTGTATATCCTGAAGGAAAAAACTCAGATCCTTGTGCTTAATAATTTAAACCGACGGAAGAGACGAAAAGCCAGTACATTCCAGGGGGAGATTCTCGCGAGAGCGCCCCGTTTTGCGCACTCACTAAAATCGTGCTGCTGTGTAGAACAATCTTAAAAATTACTTAGCCAACTAAGGGCTGAAATATGAGGATCTGCTCCCCCAATTACAGCATTTACATAGCGACGTTCGCTTTTCCATGGCTGCCCTCTCATTTAGAATAGCACCAGGGAGGAGTGACCGGTCAGGGCATCCCAGATCACAGCCACTTGGTCATCTCCCAGACACCTTCTCCTCCAGGACCCATGGGGTGGATCTGCCTGTCACCCATGTGCACTGCAGGTAGGCTAAGCCCTTAGCGAACAGTTGCTCACTTGGTGGGAGAGCCTCGTCCACCCTCTGGTACCGGCTGACATCCTGACGCACTGAAGGCAGTGACCGCAATGGCTGGTGGCCATTGGCTTGTGAACCTAGGATTAAAGGTCAAGAGTTACTCGAGTTGCCCAGGGATTGCTTTCCTTTTTGCCTCAAAATAGGTCTCTCTATGTGCACACGTGTGCATGCACGCTCTCTCACACACACACATGAGAAACGCACATCTAGGACAGATGTGTTGCGATTACATCTATGTAATCCCAGGACCCAGTCGATTGAGGCAGGAGGATAGCGAGTTTTAGGCTAGCCTGGGCCACACAGCAAGACTCTGTCTCAATAAAAAGCAAGTAAACAAACAACTGAAGATCAACCCCAAAGGTTGTTCTCACGCTCTCTTTATCTCTTTCCGCGTGGATGTAGGGGCTCAGAAGAGGTGACCCAAGAGGAATGTCCCCAGCATGCCTCTTTCACTGCCCCTCCCTGCCTTTAATTTGCTCATGTACTAACAGGGCCACAAAGTGACCATAGGTTGACGGAAAGCAAAATAGGGGTCGGAGGGAAAGAACATGATAACTTAGGCAGAAAAATAAATCACACAATAAGAAAACGATTCCTAGGACTGGGGTGAACGTCTTTCACACAGTGCTTGCCTGGCACATATCCTCAAGGCCACAGCACCAGCCCCCCCCCCCCCACTCCAAAAGAAAAGGAATGATTCCTATCTGAGTCTTTGCTACTTGGGCACATAAAACCGTCCCTTCTCTTTCTTACTGTCCCTCTCTAGAGCATTTTAAATAAATCACTCTTGGGATTCAGGGAAGATTTTATGTCTGAACATGCTTGCCCCTGTTCTCCATCTTCACGCGTTGGCATGACCACTCAACACAGTTGATCTTTCTTGGACCAAGTTTTGATGCAGAGCCCATAGCGTCCGTCCCGGGACTTTAAGAAAGAGGGACTTTTGATAACCCCCACGCATTACATTAAGGCAGAGACCGATTCTGTATCTTATTGAAGATTGAAGACTGCTGTGTGCCGGGCCTCTTACGGCAGCAATAGGGGATCCAGGTTTTAAAAAGACTGAATTGGAACTGAGGGAGATCTATGGGCACAAAAACCGTGTCTTCTCCCCCGGTTATGGGAGCAGTGAAGCCTGGGTCTGCCTCCCCGATCTGGACTGGAAGGCCTGATACACAGGAAGGCTTCAGGTATCTATAATTTGTAACCTGCTTCCACCACCCCCCCTTTATTTTTTCTTCGTTTTTCCGAGACAGGGTTTCTCTGTAGCTTTGGAGCCTGTCCTGGAACTTGCTCTTGTAGACCAGGCTGGCCTCAAAGAACTCCCAAAGATCCGCCTGCCTCTGCTTCCTGGGTGCTGGGATAAAAGGCGTGTGCCACCACTGCCCAGCCCAGGCTACCTCTTCCCCTTCTTAATCCATTTGCTAATGCCTGAGCCCCAGGTGAGGATTCTGCCTGTCCACTCACCTACACGTGCAAGCTGCACTATCCTTTACAGGGAGGGAAACTTTAGAATTTATTTTTGAACAGATATGCTTAAGCTAAGAGTCATGCTGTCTTCTTTTTCCTACCTCCGGTGGCGCCCTCCTCCTGGGCAGCGGCCCCTTCGCAGGCACCTTGGCTGTCCCCAGCATCCCCATCTTCCTGGGGCTGGCTCTCAGTGGCAGCATCAGGAGCAGCAGCAACAGCAGCAGCAGCTCCCTCCAGACTCTCCCTCCTCTGCCAGACCTCCCCCAGCTCCCCCTGCTCAGATAGAGCGGCAGCCTCAGCCCCTGGCCCTTCTGCTTCTCCTCCATTGGGCACCTGCACAGCAGGTAAGGAACCCGGAGTGCAGACGGACTCCTGCGACCCCTCTGCTGGGCCGCTGCTGGTGGGCTCAGCTGCACAGGCCCCCTCTTCCTCTTCTTGGGAAGAAAAGGCTGGGGTTTCTGGGTATCGCGCACTCTCCAGAGATGAGCACCGTGTGTCCACCGAGGACAGCTGTGTGGTCACACTGTCGTTGCATGAGCTGTCAGCACCTTCCAGGTCGCTCTCCCCCTCGGGCCGGGTGCTGGCCTCACTGAAGCTCTCTGTCCTGGCAGGGTCACTGGGTTCTGTCTCCGAGGACACCTGGGAAGGTTCGGATCCCTGGTCCAGGGACTCGGTCTCACTGGCAGCTCTGCGACTCCCTCCAGATGTGTCAGAGGCTCCCGTGTCCGCACCACTCGGGGTCTGATCAGCCTCTTGAGAGCCTGACAATTCAGCGCCGCCCTGGTCAGCACTGGGATAGGGCTCTAGGCTGGCTTCGTTGTCATCAGGGGCTGAACTTGAGGGCAAGGAGCCATCGGCAAGCTCTGGAAGGTTCTCCGGCCTCTCTTCCAAGGAAGCGACTTCGTGAACAGAGGCATCCTCGTTCTCAACGGGGTTGTCCTCCTCTGGCTTGGTCTGAGATGCCAGGCTCCCCGCATCACTTCTGGATGCTCTACTGAACATGACCAAGCCCCCTTCCTCCTCCAAGGAAGACGGGTAGCCTAGATCTTGCTGGAACTCGTGGTCTTCTTCATCCGAGTCTATGTGGAGCATCGCATTGAGTCTTGTGTCAGTGGGAAAACTACTCCTCAGTTTGGGAGAGGCGCCTATGGGCCGCTCGGAGGAGGAGGTAGCGGCCCCTGGCCTGGAGGGGCCATTGTGTTCGATAGCATCTAAGTAATCGTTAAGAGAATCCTGGCGACCTCTGGGAGGTGAGGTCCTTGAGGAAGTAGAGATTAAGTCCTCTGTGTCCATCTCCAGAGTAGAGCTAGTCCGGAAAGAATGCTTGGGGGTCCCATCGGCGGCACTGTCCTCAGACACTGGTCCATTAGCGCAAACGGTGCTGTCGTGATGGCTCCCGGGCAGATCTTCATCATCAGAAGGGCTGCCCAGGTCTCCGTTAACGGTGTTGACTCCGAGGATGGTGCCAACAGCTTCGGGAGATGCATCTGGGTGGGAAGAGCAGCGTTGGTGAGCAGGAGGAAGAAGACAGAGAAATCTATTGCCCTGACACTAACCAGCTTGCTAAGCTCTGTCATTCCATGCGACCCCGGGGCAGCATCCGCTGGCTGCTCGGGTTCACTAGTCCTGCAGAAAGTTTGGGGTAGGAGCCGTAGATGCTCTCTCTCCTGCAAGAAACTTCAGCCTAGCTTCAGAGCGCAAACAAAGCTCTCCGGGGGCCCGTCTTTGCTAAAGAAATTTTCCTAAGCACTCTGAAAGACGACAGGCAATCACTGGGAAGCCATTTCAGTTTTGGCACCAGACACGAAACTGTCCCGCTCACATGCTAACGATCATCCTAGCGAACGCGGCACGCGCTTACGTGTTTGCACAGGCACCTCACCTTCGTGGACAGAGGATGTGACTTCTACTTTAAACTGGAGGTAGCCACTCACGTGGTCCGCTGGGAGCCTTCGGCCGAGGCTGTAGCTGAGCATCTGATCACTGCAGGAGGAGAAAGGCCATTCAGCCTGGCTGTACCTTTGCTTTCCTCCCACGGGCCACCCCACGCCCCACAGACGGCCCCTGGAACCTTCAGAGTTTTAAGTAAATACAGGCTCGAGCACAGTACGACCTGATGTGTTGTTATTCATTTGCACGAGTGACCCGGGGACACAGGAAAGCCTTGCGATAGGACACAGCAAAGGGGAAAGAGCGATATGAAAACACAAAACCAGGTCACTCCCAGACGACTGCCCCAACTGGGTGAGCAAGAGAGGTGCCCACCTCCCCTTCCTCACCAACAAAATAAGGAATGGGGCTGATGGCTCTTGATCTCAGGGCACCTGGCCTCCCACTGAGTCTCAGGTTCTAACAAGCAGTTCTGCAATGAGCGGGGACCACATCCATCCCATGTCTGGTGCTAGAGGGGACCATAGCTGGACCGCTCATTCTCTGGCTTGCCTTAGGCTGCTGGCTTTCCTAAAGATGGAATTATCCAGCTATTTCAAGCCCATGTCTATTTCCCAGATTCAAATGCAAGCAACTGCGAGCCAAGCGATGATTGACTTCTAATTAGAGACCAACCAAAAGGCTAATGAAATCACACTATTTCTGCGCTCACACTGCCCTCTACTGGCCGTTCTGGAAAGAGACGCGTCTGCAGCACTGGACATCAGAGAGCTACTAGCTAGCATTGGGGCGTCAACCTACCTACATAGATGAACACATTCTTAATCTTGTTTTTTCGAGACAAGGTTTCTCTGTGTAGTCCTGGAGACTGTCCTGGCACTTGCTCTGTCCTCCACTGGCCCTGAACTCACAGAGATCCACCTGCCTCTGCCTCTAGAATTAAAGGTGTGCGCCACCCCACCCGGGTGTGAATATCTCTTAAGAAATAAAAAAAAAAAAGCATTTACCAATTGATAATTCACCTGAATTCATAGTCAAGTTCTTAGGCATTTCATCCATGACGTCATGTTTCTTGTTCTCGATGGATGCTATCTAACATCTTGCTTCCCTATACAGAGTGTTCACTGAGTGACAGGCACACACTGCTGAGGTCTCTAGGGATATGCTGTTCTTTACCCCCTGGCCACTGGGCAGGAAGCGTCAGCCCTGCTTTCTAGCTAGGAAGCTCCTTGAGGACCGACCCGGGGGGGGAGTCATATATTATCCTGCGGCAGAAGCCCCTGATAGCACAAGTTCACTTCACGGTCTGCGATTCGGGGCTGCTTTGGGTGGAGTTCCTCTTCCTGCCATTCTTTCTTGCGGGATACCGGGACATAACGCAGCTATCAATACTCTCTTCCCAAACTGCACTAGAACGCATAACAGAACCGCAGGACCGCTGAAATCTGCCTAACAACAGGGACGCCTCCCTCTGCTCCCCCCACCACTGCAGTCCGGTATTCCTGCATTTAGAGAACACACACACACACACATGCACAAGGGTGCTTGCACACTCGTGTGTCCACCGAGCAGCAGATGCTATGCCTTGTCTCCACTTCCCTGTCTTTTCTTCCATCTGTTTTGGCACTCTGTCTCTAATATGGCCACCATTTCCTTGTTAAAGGAGACTGATGGTTCCTCCCTTCTTCTGCCAAGAAATAATGACCCTGATGACGGAAGACTCGCAGCAGCGACAGATAGGGGAGAGAATGAATGCTTTGTAAGAGCTGAGTATAAAGGACTGTGCCCATCTGTTTCGGCGACTCTCTCATTGCTAATACCCAGCGTAGCTCTTGACATTTACTAGGCGCTTAATGTATACATCTTTACCAACTGCTGAGCGAGAACCTTTACTTGGAAGAAGTTTAACTGAGCTCACCTCAGCTCACCTGTTCTGCACCAAAGCCCCCGAAGGCCGCAGACCCTCCGTGGAGAGTGCACTATTGTACAATAGTGCCAGTCTGGGGACGTGGTCCTCCTCCTGGGCTTGTCCCGTCCTACTCCGACTCAGCCTGCCTCCCGCTGTGCTACATCACTATGCAGCATATGCTATACGTTACTATTATTATAAAAATAAACACTAAAGACTTTCCCTAGGTGCCTGAGGCATTTTCTCACTGATGGGGGAACTGATGAGCGTGGGGCCACGGCAAGTGTTTCAGGGAGAAGTCAGCCATGCCATGAAAAATGCCACATCGAAACAGATGCCTTAAAAACAGATCGGGAGTGTGGCTTAACCCACATAGCCGTACCCTGGACATTTCCAACTATTTCCGATAGCCACAGTTCACCACATAGATACTCAAGCAACCGGATAGAAAACAGCCATCAGGTTAGAAATACGGACGTCTCTAGCGTGACAGCAATGCTTATAACCCGTGCTCAGAGAAACGCCTCAGTCCTGATACTTCATGAGTGCAGTTTGGACGTTTCTTCCACTAGACACAGAACTGGGTCTGTTGACCCGGTGGGTGTTCCGCTCTTGAGAAGACTCACTCAAGCAGCAGAGAGTTCATGGCAGTTTGGGGACTGACGAGATTTAGCTCTCCCTTGATCATTCTTGCTGTCAGTACACAGAGTTGATACATATATATTATTACATGAATGAGAAAGGTATTAGATTCTTTGTAGTTGAACCTCATCATCACCTTTCACTGTTGATATGTGTTAAAACAATTTGGAAAGCTCTCAAAATGTGTCTTCTAGAAGCTATAATTATTTTCCTTAAAAAAAAAATCACTGCCATGTCTCAGCTTTTATCAGATAAACCAGGCTTCTAGAAATTTGTATTATCTCTACTTTGTGTGGGCTGTCCAAACACAACGTTCACATCTTCAAGCCAAGCGGATCAGAATTCGTGAGGACTTCTGAGCCTCATGTTTGAAGTGCTAGAGGGCCAATTGCTCTCAGAAGAGGAAACGGAAACCCAAGCAAACTGTAGAGGATGCGCGGGGCTGGGTTTCCACAGCAACAATTGCAACCAGCACTCAAGGTGTTTCAGAGAAAAGAGGGTCTCGAGCCCCCAAATCGCAGCTCTACCACTGGCCTGCCAGCCTCAGATGCCTCTTCTCTGGGACAGCTGGCATGGCATCATGTGCCTCTTGGAGCCGCCGAGGCTCCATGGGCAAATCCATGTGCTATTCCAAGGGCTGACGGTGCAAACCCAGCATCTCCTCACTACCGCTGCCAGGACGGTGCTCACCCAAGGGACTCCCCCTAGGCACTGCTGCTGCCACCACTACTGTGTGTTCAAAAGGTTGTGTGTGTGCAAAATGACACACACAATGCTCTCGCCGTGCTATCCTAGGGTACTTCTAGTGTTGGATTTGCTAGTACCCGGGACGTAAAAGTACACCCTGCACAATGGACGAGGGCATGCTGCATCTCTTTACTTTTACAGCTCCCGGGAACCACAACAAAAAATAAAATAAAAATAAAAACTAAAACGAAAGCCCCAGATCAGTTTGTTTCTGTGCCTCATGAACAAAGGTGGGCTCCATGGATGGAATTCAGCAGGATAACATAACGGTGATATGATGCCCAATGAAGGGTGTTGTAGCGAGATTTCAACACGCCCTCACATGGACTGAATACTATGAGGTTTGTCACCGATGGCTAACTGGGCGAATCTTAGAGAGGGGATTGATACCACCAGAAAGTGTGCCATTAAAACTGGGTATTTTGGGTCCCATACACATAATTGAACATAGGGACACTTTTTTTTTTTTAAAGAGATATGTCCCAGTTCTTCTCAGCGAGACACACCCCAGGACTGTCACGTGCAACTCTGGCTGCCCCAGCACAGACTGAGCTCCAGGTCCCCCACAGTGAAAGCCCGTCCGTTACCCGCTGGCTTGACGCTCCAGCAGCCTCTGTACCGGAATGGTCAGCTTCCCCAGGAAACGCTTGATGATGGGGCGGCTCTTGGCAAATTTGTCTTTGATTTCGATTTCTAAGACATCGGTTAGAAGTGCAAAGAAGGAGTATTTCTGAAACCAGAAACAGACCACACGCTGGCTGAGAAGACACGTGGAACCTTTTCTCGTTTTATAGACAGACACTGCTAGCCTTGGAACCCGAATGGCACTCAGAGGCCATACTCCCGGCTTCTGTAACTCCTATTCTCGCTTAGGAACTCATAAAGAGCATTTGCTAAAGCCCATAGAGAGAAACTTTAATGTGAGTGAACTATGTGCTAGTCCAAAAGATAGAAAACTTAACTAGAAGCCCGTCTTTCCCCCTTTGTCCCAGCCCTGCTGGGCTCTGCCAGGGAATAATACTGTAACTCTCCCGTTCTTGAGGAAACTGTCGTATGTTTAGCTCCTCATGAACATTTTGCATTAGTTTTTAAAATATCAAGACATCTATTTTGATCATTAAGCCTTCAGCATCCCACAAAATTGTACCAGAGAGTGAACCCTTCGCCGCTCTTAGCGCATACATGGCCCTAACAGGAAGGAAGTAGCTCACGGGCAGTGTGCCCCCTTCAACAAAACCGGACATCTGCAGCTGCCTTGCCCAAGCCCATCAACAACTCAAGGCTGTACAGAGTGCAGAGAGAAAAGATGAGCCTGCCTCTCAAGTACCGTCAGGCAGAAGACACTCCGCCCCCAACCCCCGGTCCGTCTTACCTCTCTGTGCCAAATGGGATTGGTGGTGTTGCTGATGATGGTGGACCTTCTCTCCTGCCCGTGGTGGGCGCACGTAGGGAAACTGCTCTTCTTCCCTGGCTGAATGGACATCTTAAGATAAGGGTCGGGATTGAAGAACATCCCTTTCTTGAGCCCAACTGCCCTGAGATCTTTAAAGAAAGGGGGTCGGGAGAAGCAGGGAGAGGGGACAGGCAGTAGGGAAGGGAAAAGCACAGAAGAGAGGAGGAAGGAGCCAGACATCCCAGTTAGCATGAGACTCAGGCCTTCTTAATGAACCCAAAGCCCTAACCAGCAAGGGGCTAGTGACGCAGTGACAGCCAGTCACTCTGTGTCACACAGATAACGAGAGGGTCACGGCAGGAAGCCGGCAGGAGGATCTCCCAGGTGGCAAAAATAAGGCCAGCCCCTTTTCATGACCTCATGCCCCTACATCTGGAACCCTTAGAGTCCCCATGTCTGTGGGTCCCCACCATCTTCTTCAGGGTGCGGTGTGACTGGTCAGCCACAATGGAAGGTAATCTCTAAACAGAAACTCTCAGTAATCAGTTTATAAAAATATGTTCTTTCATAAAAAAGACCCACATATCTAAAATCACAAATATCTACACTATATATGTATGCATGTATGTATCTATGTGTGAGTCTGAAGCAAGTCTAACTTGAGATCAAAAATTTAAAGCCCACACTCATTTGTGATACACCCTAAAAGTCATGCATCTTCTATAAGAACTCTAACACGCGAGTGCCATTATTCTGAACAATTCTTCACTTGTTTTTTTCCCATAACCTATAAAGTAATTTAAATGTTCAGGGAATACCTTACAACTTACCTTATTTTCACAATATGTTTTACGTGACATGAGCTGCCAGAAGTCATCACTGAAACCGTCTCAGCGAGGAGACGTTTAGATTGTCAGCTGAACAGGCGCACGCATGTCCAGACCTAATGCTGCCGTAGCTGGGCCCACAGCACCTTCCCGAGACTATCAACGTGATGCATGCAGCTCTGCAGCTAAACCATCTTGAAAGCTATGAACAAGCCTGCGTTTGTATGTGGCTCAGATCAACCTGGAGGTCTGGATCACTCTAGCTTGGATAGCAGTTATGCACAGGGACACCCTTTCCCTGGCTTGGGTTTTATGTATCCCCAGAGCTCACTCTTCGGAAGAGATGGGCTGGGACACAAGAACACATGGCCTAGATACATGGGATGAAAACAGACCAGGGCTGTCTAAGGTCTCAGCCGGCAGGGGAAGGGATGGATAATACATCAGCAAACAGGGAGATGGTCAACTGTAAGGACCCACGCTGACAGCGCTGCATGAGATGGAGATTGATGGCTGACCTAGAAATTAGCAGGAGAGGGAAGGGACAAGGGAGGGTTGAGTCAGGCCCTCTGTGAAGCTGCTGTCATCATCCCAGTGAGCCCATGTTCGATACTTCATAGACTATCCGGTCTTTACTAAGTGCAGATTTTTCACTCGACCAACTGCGTGTTTTGCTCGGTTGGCGTAAAGCGGCCTCGGGAAGAAAACACAGCTCACACATTGATTTTCTTGCCCTTCTTGAGGATCCCTGCCTCCGACTCAAGACAGATTGACAGCTTCTAGATATTGAGTTCACTCCCAAGCAGGGGATTTCCTTGAAGTCATTGAGGAGTAATGTGGCCAGAAACAGCTGCCACAGAGTCTGACAGAGCTAGATAACCTTGATGCCAACTCCTCCGCACTGACACACTGCACAGATGAACGCATCTTCATTAACACAGTGATAAACGGCCAGTTCCTTGCACTCTGCTGATCCAGCCCCTTCTCTTCTCTCTGTTCCTGCTTCTCTTTATTTTCCTTGTTTCCCTGTTCACAAACTCCGCATCACACAGCAGACCAAAGAAGAACGCGAACCCACAGAGCACCCACGCTGGATATCCTAGCTTCAGCCTTACTTGGGTAAGACTTAAAACACGAATCAAGACACAGTTTTGGCCCAGGCTGTAGAGTTCAGGTCTCCGGGCTTCTTCCTTGCTTCTCCTTCGATAATCAAGCATAGAACATTTACAGGCAGCCGTTCCAGCCCGTCAATCTTTCAGATAAGTATGTTACCCACTGTCAGCCTTCAGCCGTGCTAATTGTTTTAGAATCAACATCACAGAATCCATTTTTCCCCTCCTGTGATTTTTACAAGTCTCGGTACGTGCGGCAAAAGTCTATCTAGAAGAGGACAAACACCCCGCAGGCAGCCAGCTTCCGTGGGAACAGTGCTGGGATGTGACCAAAGCAGTTAAAGATGGAGTCACCGATGCCCTAGAACTTGTTTCTTATTTTCAGGAAGACACCCTATGATTTTACTTTCCGGTAGCAATTCTCCTACACTGAGTTAACAGCATTCCCTCTGAAGCCAAAATCGATATGTGACTGCCATGTTTGAAGTGATATACATCAGCCAGACACATAGTTCAATAGCTCTAAACCAGGAAGTCAACAGAGCATAGCGAACCATCACTGGGGGTGGCTAATTGTTCCCAATTGCCACAAGGGCTTCAGGGTCTATAACTCCCTATAACTTCCCAGGTCTAAAGCAGGAGCCGTCAATCATCAGCAGGAATCGGTTTGAGGGCAAACGCTAGACAATGGGGCTTTAAATTATCTTCTGATTACCCAGATCGATACTTTAAAAATCCCAAAGGTCCCAAGAAAAATAGATACACGGGCCCGATCTAAACCATAAGCCACCAGGTTACAAGGTCTGAGATTCGCCAGGAAGCTGAAGGAAGGAAAGGAGACCTTCAAATTAACCACCCCACAGGAAGCAAAAAGGACGATACAAAAGGAAACTAAAGAAGATGATGGCCAGCCTGGTCCTGATGGGACCATCACAGCGTGTGGAGGTGGCTGACACCAAGGGTCGCCTTTAGAGGCTGATGCTCATTCACACTCTTTCAGCAGAGAAAATGGAATCTCAGTTAAATCTCAGACCGACTGGTTCTTTTTTTTTTTTTTTTTTTTAACAGAGCCGGATAAACTTTAGACCTTTAGACTCTGTATAAGTTACCATCCAATCGTCCCCTTGTCTATTTGAAAACTCCAATCCAAGCACCAGCTTTCTTAGCGCATTCTTGGCTCTAGAGTCGCCAATTCATTCTCACTAGGTTAGTGGCTTTCAAACCTTTTTCTGACAGTGCTCCATGTACAAAATAAATTTCATCTTTTCCTGTTGCAGCCCAGTGCACACATACATGCACATGTCTACTTCTTTTTTTTCCCAAAATGTCAATTTGTGTAAGCTGAGGTTTCATCAAAACAACTTTCCCTTTGGCAGTAAGCTCCAATCATTTTAATGCTGGTTTCAGCTCAGTCAGCGGGGGGTGAGGGGTACTTTACCACACAGGAAACCATTATCTTTTTACTTATTAATATATATTTTTTTTTAATTTCATGAAAACAGTCATCTGCTTTGTGTGTAACCCTCACAGAAAAAGGCCTGCCTTTCACGTTTATACTTCCAACTTTTTCTTTCTCTAGATGAAGTAAGCTCATGTGGTTTCAAATCCCCAAAGCTCCTTGGCAGAGTTATTTAACCATTTACACCCACTGACAACAACCTCACATACTCACACAGTCCTTTTTCATGCTAAAGAGAGAGAGAGAGAGAGAGAGAGAGAGAGAGAGAGAGAGAGAGAGAGAGACAGCACTTTCTGAACATAATCATCACCTAATCTTATCATGGTCAAATACATACATGGCTTTCCAGAAGTCTGAGCAGAAGAACTCAAAATAACATGGTTTACAGGCCATCTATGACACTGGACAAAGAAACAACCATGCCTTCCACTGACGCTGGGCATCCTCAGACTGGAGGCCACACCCAGACACTTACCTGACAACGTGAAGCTGACGAGCTTCCGAGAGTGCAGACTTCCGGAAGCACCGCCTTCCATGCCTTCCGCCCCCATCTGAGGAGAAAAACGGGTGTGAAATTTCATATGAGGATCACGCTATCAATGGTCCAGGGAAATTCATGTGTTTGGATATACAATGATTTTTTTTATATCAAATGCATTGCAGTGCATGTCTTCAAAATTTCAAATCCTAGATATGCAAATAAAGATTCCAAAATACAGGATCAAAGGTTTATATTTAAAGTTGATCTTTGCCCCATTTAAAAAATATGAACTTTGAATTCTTTCTTTTCTTTCTCTTTCTCTCTCTCTCTCCCTCCCTTCCTTACCCCCTCTTCCTTCCTTCCTTCCTTCCTTCCTCCCTCCCTCCCTCCCTCCCTTCCTCCTTCCTTCCTTCCTTTCTTTCTTTAGTTTTTTCGAGACAGGGTTTCTCTGTAGCTCTCGGCCTGTCCTGGAACTAGCTCTTGTAGCCCAGAAGCAGCTGGCCTTGAACTCACAGAGATCCGCCTGCCTCTGCCTCCCAAGTGCTGGGATTAAAGGCGTGCGCCACCACCGCCCAACGAAATCTTAATACAATCAACTTACTACGTCTACTGTAAGTTCTGACTTTCCCTTTAATATGAGTATGGTTGTTTATGGTATACATTCCTATAAGTCCAACACTCAGAAGGATGAGGCAGGAGAGTCACAAATTTGAGGCCAGCTGTCTCTGTCCATCTGTCCGTCTGTCTGTCTCACTATCTGGTGTGTGTCTGTACATGTGTGTGACATTGATGAAAGTAGTGTTCCTGTTATATTTGAGACAGGGTCTTAGTGTATAGCTCAAGTTGGCCCGCTTCATTTAGAGAACCCGCCCCTTGAGAGGAGATCAGATAGACATTTGACCAAATTTCTCAACTCTCGCCAGTGCCCCTCCCCTGCCCTGGTGATATCCGACTATTCTGCCTTCAGCAAGAGTTCTTTGGTGGTTGGCTGGTCACTGTGCCTTCCACTTTCTTGGTCATTCTCATCCCATCTCTGCACAGCCCCAGCTGGCCCGGACATCACGGCATTCTTGCCATTGCCTCTCAAGTGTGGGGATTATCAGAATGTACCACCATGCCTGGAGGAATATATTTATGCACAATGAATACACACACACACACACACATATACATACATACATACATACATACATACATACACATATACTCAGAGATATGAGGTAAGGGAGGGAGGATGACCTGGCACACTTAGTGTGTAGTTTCAGTAGTAATATACTACTACTTAGGCATCCTACCTTTATCCAGGCTTCTGCTGTATTGTAGGGTGGGTTCTTGGCTACTGGACTTAGCAATAGTAGAACCATGGCATGCTATCGTTCAATCGTCTTCCCCCAGAGAATAGCCTCAGTTCCTGTTTCAGCCCCTCTTCTCCTTTTCTTTGGCGATGAGACTGTCATCAGCCTGACACTGACCAGGCAGAGTAAGGCTGACTGGCCACACGCCCTAGGATTCACCTGCCACCACTTTCCCAGCCTTGGCAGTGCACCTGTGTGCAGTCACACCCAGGCCTGACCAAGTGACGTAACTCGCCAGCTCCCTTAATCCCAATCTCTTGCTGATCATGGTGCTCACTCAACACAACTGTGAATTATTACAATGGATTTCATCCTCGGACTCACAAGTCCCAGATTAACAGGGGTAGAGATCACAGCCAAGTGTCTAGACAGCAGATCTCTGTGACTGTTTCCCCTACGTTCTGCACACAGGACACAGACTGTGGCAGACTTCTCCTGGGACAGGGTAGTAATCTACACTCCCGGCTACCCTAGGACCATGGGTCCATAAAACAGGGCCTCGCCATGAGTAGAAACACACTGTCTACTAGGTAAGACACGTCCCTCCGGGAATAGAACATGTGTGTCTAACCAGGCACTTGCTTGTGCTCAGTTATTTGTGGCTGAAAAGATGAACGGATTGCCTAAAAATTACCTCCTCCCTTCCCTCCTTCCCTTCCTCTGCATCCCCCCCAACCGCCCAAACACTGTCTTCCTATGTAGCCAGGTCACAATTCACTGCCTCAGCCGCCCCATCAAGTGCTAGGAATAGAGGCATTTACCGCCACAACACCAGGCTTATAAACAAATTTAAATATTTTAAGGAACTCCAAGGGAACAAGAGAAGACCCCTGCAATCTTCATTTTAAAAACTTAATTCATCGTGCGGTAAAAGACTCATCTGAAAACAATCACCAAAGAATTCATAGAGAGCTTGCGCCGCCTCCCTGGCAAAATACTCATCTGAACTAAAACTCAAGAGAATACAGCTTTATCGCACAAGGAAGGCCAAGCACTGCCCTGGAACACAGGGCCATTCATTATAATAAACACGTCGGCACCAGCGACCAGAGGGAGGTTTTTAAATAGGTGCTTGCTCTCCCTAGATCCATTCCAGGAAGACCCGGAGGTGACACTTTCAACCAGAACCGGCCCCAGCAGCTGAACGGTTTCCTGTTGCAAGGCTTTGTCCGACACACATCTCACTTATGTTCTGATGAATGGCAAAGACGTCAGCGTCAACATACAAACGACAGAGGAGGCGGTAGTTTTCATCCTTCATTCATTGCCAGAGTGTGAGAGAAGAGATCACAAGGATTAAAACAGGGGCTCATTTCCCGACCTGCGGAGTCTCAGCTGTCTTCCTCCGCGTTGTTCTTCGCATCAGGCATGGAACAGGCACACTAAGGAAGCACTGTGTTGCTGTTTACAATAGTTAAATACATGGTGTGCACTCCGGGGACCACCACACTGCTACAGCAGCGAAGTGCTGACCTCCCCAGAGGAGGTCAGTGGTGTGGGAGCTCCTTCTGTCTGTGTGTTACTTTATTGGTTAGTGAATAAAGAGGTTAGTGAATAAAGAAACTGCCTTGGTCTGTTGATAGGGCAGAACTTAGGTAGGCGGGGAAAACTGGACTGAATGTTGGGAGAAGGAAGGTGGAGAGAGAGAGACACCATGGAGCCGTTGCCAGAGTCAGACATGCCAAAACTTTGCTGGTAAGCCACTGCCACATGGTGATACACAGATTAATGGAGATGGGTTACATTAAGATGTAAGGGTTAGCCAATAAAAAGCTAGAGCTAATGGGCCAAGCAGTGATTTAATTAATACAGTTTCTGTGTGGTTATTTTGGTTCTGGGCGGCCAGGATGAACAAGCGGCCTCCTCCTTGCAACAGGTCAGACCCAAGAATACAGATCCAAGAACTTGTAGATTGTTCAGAAATCTACTGACCACCATTTCCATTCATGAGTTTTTCGATCAAAACGTTGACTCTTGACTGTAGTGCTGTCCTCTACCCAGACCTCTGAAGTCATACTGAAGTACAGTTATTCCCAAACTGCAGGCTGTGGTGGGGTAATCTCAAGGGAGAGTCACGGCAGTGCATCTAACTGGCAGTGGGCTGGACATTCCTGCCGCCTTTGGTAGTAGCTAGACCATCGCTCATCTAAACAACCCGGAACGCAGGAACTGTTGGCTTTTGTCTTGTTTTCTCATTCCACTCAGAATGAGTTTTTCAGAGGTTTGATTAGACACAGCTTTACTCTCGTAGGTCTGTAACTTTTTATTTTACAATATTAAAGGCAAGGAAGTCTATAGGCCAGTGTTAGACTGGCACAGCAGATTGTGAAGTCACTTTCCTCTTCACAAAATGGTCACTACAGGGATCTGATTGATGTCGCTTTCCCTCGTGACAGCACCAATAGCAACAATCTCGTTCTCCTTGCCATCTGATTCTGAGCAGTAGGCTGGGCATGCAGACACGCCCACTGGAAATGTCTGACTAATGAGCAAAAGGAAAGGACCGGCTGAATCAGAGGCGCAGGCACTATCAAAGACAGCACACGGCGAGGATGGACAATTCCAAAATGACATCTATAGGGACTACCTCCTGAAGTGGGGGGTTGAACCTGGCCCCTGTCTATTTCCAAATTAGCAACCATATATAAAAGCATGCATGCATGCGTGCGCGCACGCGCTCGCGCGCACACACACACACACGTCATAGGAGTTAAATTTTTTTCTAGACTTTTATTATTTATTTATTTATTCATTTATTTATTTAGTTGTTGTTCTTGGAGACAGAGTTCCTCTGTGTAACAGCTGTCTTGGAACTCACTCTGTAGACCAGACTGGCCTCGAACTCACAGAGATCTGCCTGCCTCTGCTTTCCAAGTGCTGGGATTAAAGGTGTGTGCCACCACAACCTGGCTATCATCTTAAGTTTTACTAATGACAAAAACTGCAAAGATTCCCATATGTCAAAGCCTGTGACTCTTCCTAAACCATCAACCTAATTTTGAGAACTCTAGATTTTTAAAGCTGACCTGCCAAGAGAAAAAAAGTCAGAAAATTGCAAAAGCAATGACTACCCTTCACCCGAGGGCTCGATGAAGAAGTTGGCTCCCAGAGCGTCCATATTTTACCAAACAGGAGATTCTCACTCAGCACTCGGTGAGAAATTTAAACTCAGACCTCTGAGGAAAGCGCCCATAACTGACCCATCACACATGGTGACCTCTGAGGAAAGCACCCATATATGACCCCATCACACACCATAACTTCTGAGGAAAGCGCCCATATATAACTCACACACAGTGACCTCTGAGGAAAGCGCCCATATATGACCCCATCACACACCATGACTTCTGAGGAAAGCGCCCATATATAACCTCACACACGGTCACCTCTGAGGAAAGCGCCCATATATAACCTCACACACGGTGACCTCTGAGGAAGGTGCCCATATATGACCCATCACACATGGTGACCTCTGAGGAAAGCGCCCATACATAACCCTGTCACACACTCTCCTCAGGTGTCAAGCAAGTAGAATGCTTATGATCTCACTGGGCTCCTCCCCCCTTTACACACAGAATGCATGGAAACCCACCTGAGATACAGTACCACCATTTCCTACTGTCCACGTGTAAAACCCTTCACGACAGAACACTGTGGGTCACCGTGTTCCCTCGAAGAGTTATTGTACATGGGACAGCTATGTCACAAGTGTTTTTCCACTGATAGGTATCGCAGATGCGGCCGTGGCGACCTTTACCACGTTTCCTTTCCTGAAACACACTGTCGAGTTTCCTTTTCATTGTTCCTCGTGACCCTGACAGGGCTGTCCAGGCAAAAATAGGACTCTTAACGGGCTCCAGGAGGAAGCCAGCCATGGGGGGACTCACCATCACAGCCGGGTTCTTCACAGTAATGCAGGGGGTTGTGGCTCGCAGGGCTCCGCTAATGCCATGGTAGTACTTGAAACAGATTTTGATCTCCGCTGCAAAGCAATGGGAGAGAAACAGATGAATCTACATATCTCTCTCAGGCAATCCTCTCTGGACACAATTCCTTCTTTGCTGACCAGTTCCTGATGAGTTTTGCTTATTTGGCTTTTCCCTTTGCCTTACGTTTCACAGGGTCTTCATCATCATCATCATCATCATCATCATCATCATCATTATTTGGTTATTTTGAGACAGGGTTTCTTTGTCACTTTGGAGCCTGTCCTGGAACTAGCTCTGTAGACCAGGCTGGTCTCGAACTCACAGAGATCCGCCTGCCTCTGCCTCCCGAGTGCTGCGATGAAAGGTGTGCGCCACCGCCGCCCGGCTCGCAGGGTCTTAATAGCCACCTAAGCTAGTCTGAAGCTCACTCAGTAATAGCACAGGATGGCCTTGAACTCCGAGTCTTCTTACCTCAGCCTCTCAAGAGCTAGGGTTACAGACATGTGCACCAAGCCCAGGTTTGTCTGCTTTGTGGAAACTTCCTAAGAGCATCGCTAAAGTATCGGGCAAATAATATACTGAATATACTCTGTAGAGCGGAAAGAGAAGAACGTGACCAGCGACTTTTGCCATGTGCTAGGCAGTGCCATGGCTCACTGTTGTCATCTAACCCCGACTCCAGTCTGCTCTGGGTGACGGGTGAATTGTTGAGATTTCCTGTAAGCCATTCTAATAAGCTAAAGACAAAAAACATAATGTATTTCTTTCTTTTTTTTTTTTTTTTTTTGGTTTTTCGAGACAGGGTTTCTCTGTGGTTTTGGAGCCTGTCCTGGAACTAGCTCTTGTAGACCAGGCTGGTCTCGAGCTCACAGAGATCCGCCTGCCTCTGCCTCCCGAGTGCTGGGATTAAAGGCGTGCGCCACCACTGCCCCGGCTTCATAATGTATTTCTTAAGATGAAAGAAAACCCTTGAATATTATATTTTCTAGGTCAGAGGCTGACAGTATCAGAAGTTTTAGAAGCTATCTAAATGGCTTAATCACTTTTCCCCCAAGACTCTGTGCCATAAGCTCCAAAGAGCCACGTAAGATCGCATTAATGCTGAGAAGCTCTCTTAAGATGGTCTAAGTCAGACACTGGCTCAAGAAGACGTTAAAAGGACACCCTTGACTTCTAAGCTCGGAGATAAACACTCCATTTGTTTGATGACTTGTCTTAACCTCTGTGGACTGGAGCATCTTGGGAGTTGCATCGTTTTGACTTTTCTGAAGTCACGATGCTTTGTCTAGACGTAACGTGGACTATTCTCTCAGCCCTTAAGCACGCTGGAGGGCTTCAGTTCCACCGTCCTGGGTTTACACAAGGGAAAAGGAATGACGAACAGGCGGAAACCCACTCTACCTTCTCTAGCCCACATCAAGATCCAAGCCCATTTCTATTAAACAGCAGAATGAGGTCTGCAGACACTTCCCAAGACAAGTGTCTACTATGTGGCATATTATAAGTGTTATATTTACCATCTGAGACAGCCTCAGGGCATTATGGAGCGCTAACAGAAAAGATGCTAAGAACGGGCTTTCGATTTTCCTCAGACCAGGTTGCCTTGTGGTAGAGATCTTGCCCCCAGGCTCCAGGTAAGCACCAAGCATGGTCTTCAGCATTCAGGCGCCAACAGGAAAGTGATTTTACCTCTTCCCTGGCATTTAGTTGGCAATACTGTTCACCTAACCAATTTCTTAAACCGTGGGATCCTTTTAAGGAAAGAACCGTGTTGGAAGTAAAACCGGCTTTGGCTGTGTTTCCCTGTATGTTCTTATATTTTCTCCACTTTCTATATAACGCCCTCAGATCAGTACCCCAGGCCCAAAGACTTCCCCATGTTCCTGTCACGTGATGAGTTCAGCACTGAACTTGAAAACGAAGGAAAGAAACTTCTCTTAAGGGCAGGCTGCATGCCTGGCAGTGGATAGCCAACAGAAACAGGATGGACAGTGCCTTTGGAGGTTCCTTGTCTCACAACGTTATGCCTGGGCTTTCTGCTGTTTTTGTTGGTTTGTTTTTAATTTTAAAATACATTTTATTTTTATTTCATTCACATATTTTTTTTTCTTTCTTTCTTAGCATATACATTATGGCTTCCAGTTAGTGTTTTTATGGGATGCCTGAATGTGAAAATAAGTGTTCCTATGGTTTTTTTTTCCCTTTTTTTCCCCCCTGAGACAGGGTTTCTCTGTGTAACAGCTCTAGCTGTCCTGGAACTAGCTTTGTAGACCTGGCTGGTCTCACACTCACAGAGATCTGCCTGCCTCTGTCTCCCGCGTGCTGGGATTAAGGGAATGCACCACCACCGCCTGATTCTATGTCTGCTTCTTACAAAATTTCTTGGGATCTTTTCCTTCTCTTTGTTTGTTCTGTCCTATTCTGATGCATTAGTTTTTGCTTTATTCTATAATATTATATAAATTGTATATTTTGGTATTATTTCATGGAAGCTTGTTGGTTTTCTAACGAGAGACAGAAAAGGGGTGGATATGGATAGATAAAGAGTAGAAGAAGTGGAAACCAAAATCAGGATCTATTATATGGGAAAAATCTATTTTCAATAAAGGAAAAATAAATGAAGGAGGGAAGGAACGGTGTCTTGGTTATGATTTTCTTCATTTTGTTATGTAAAATTTCACAGTTACGATGTTGGAACGTGGAATTTGGACCACCCTGAATCTGGGTGCCAGGGCCATGGTCCACCACACTGGCCTCCAAAATAAACTATCTTTTATCCCTTTGGGGTGACAGCTGTACTTCTTGTGTTTACAAGGCTTCAACAGACAATACAACAAGAACATCAGACTATGAAGCAGGACACAGCTTACCCGGAAGAAGCAGGACCAGAGGGGACTGTAGAGCATTGCCACACTGGAGAGGACACAGGAAGATACTACCCGATACCTTTAATACTGATGAAGGCCAGAGACGCTAATCTTCTAAAATAACTTTTGATGCTACAGATGTTTTAGAAACCTCACTAAACACGTTTGCATCAAGTTCCCATCTGTTCAAATGGCACTTGATATTTTGCTTTGATAAGTCCCGTTATTTCGAGTATTCATAGAATCTCTAACAATAAATCCTTTACATGTAGAAATTTTCCTTCTTGGAGCTCAGTGTTAATAAAAAAAAATCTCAAAAGCCCATGCTTTCTCATTTGTTAAAGAAAGAAAATTTCTGAAGATACTTGAATTAACCTGGACTGACTGGTAAACTAGCAGATCACCAATCCTATTTTATTCACCTGTTTTCTTACCATTCCATAAAATACCCTGAGAATCCCCGTATCTTCAGGAATATTAGTAGTGAATATAAGCACACACACCTTGTCCACTTTATTAAAAACCAATAGACGCAGTATCTCGAATAAACTATGTACTATATTAGCATCTGTATTCACAAATACAACAGGGGATGGATTGGATAATGGTTGATTCTCTGCATCCAATTTCTGATTGTTAGCATTTGACGTTGAAGGAGGCACAGACTACCTTACCCATCCTCCGTTGACCTACATGCAAAAGGTAACCATCTGCTGGTAAGAAATGAGGAATATTCAAAGCAAACAAAATTCCTAAGTCAGTCAAAACATTGAACTATCCTTTCTGATTCCTAAAATCAATGAAGTCACCATTATTTGCCCAGTATTAAATGTTCAATCTCCGATGAGCATTTTCTAAAGCAAAATATTTTCTAATATGGGGCTTCATGATAGAAACATATGAATAAGAGCCAAAACCGTTAAAAATAACATTCAGATATGACTCTATACATTCAACACACATGCATATTACTCAGCTTTAAGATTATCGTGCTTGTCAATGACTTACGTTCCATGAAGTAGGGTCCAGGCTCAATTCTCCAGACAATTTGTCCTTTTTGGGTTCCAGTGACGCCCCTGTTTTTAGAATCCCAGAAGTTGGCTGGAGAATTCTCATCTGGCAAAAAAAAAAAAAAAAAAAAAAAAAAAAAAAAAAAAACCAAAGAAACACTTTTAGGTTAATTACAACCCATCGTCTCTTACCTCAAAGATCAGCACACATTCTAAAATAAGTAGAAAGACGGTAATAAAGAGGGCAGACACCAGTGACTGCTGTTTCTAATGGCTACCTCCTAGCCCGTCTGAGTTTCTGCTTTTGCATCTATTGGGGGGAAACTGAAGGTATAACAGGAAAGACGACGGCTCCTTCGGGTCTGGCCAGGGTGTTGCCAAAGGATAATCTTGCGGGGAACAAAGGGTTAAGTTACTGCTGCTTCAGTGCTGAGCTGATTTGCAAGAAGGGGCTGGAGTAAAATTCATCTCCAGAACCTTTCTCAAAGGTAGGAAGCGAGCTGAGTTGGGAGAATGCAACAGAACTCATGGTGGGTGAACGAAGGACCCAGGGACAGCAGCTGAGCCAGGCAGCAGCAGAGCTGCAGGACCCGTGTTAAGAGGGTCTATGAAGTCATCATGTCTTCCAGGACAAAGGTGGCAACAGGAACAGGCAATGTCTCCACTGTGGTGTGGAAGAAAGACAGAAACAACGGTGTCCCAGAGGACAGCATTTCCCAGGCTTTCCTCACACCACCCAGAAGTGGTAACGCTCGCCTCACCTCCTGAAGTAAAAGGTAAAAGCCAACTTGTTTACGCTTAGAAGATGCTCTGATTGCCTCTGACTCTGCCCTGCCATGATGAGAGCCAAAAGGAGGAACAGATACATTGTTTACAGTATACTGGCTTGGAAAAGATACAGTGGCATTGGCTTTTCAAGTCACATGGGGCAAAACAGGCAGGATAGAGTACAACCTCCAATAAAGATGGGGAGACGGAGAAATGATTCGGAACACAAAGGCACGGTCCTATGTGGGAAAACAACCCTCTTCTCAACTGGAAAGAAGCAGAAAATGGGCCAGGATTGGGGGCTCAGGAAGATCGCTATCAGTGTTCATGGTGGCCTGGGGTTCAGGGTTCTAGAAGCCACAGCTCTCTGAGCGGGCTGGTCTTTCCATGTCATTCACGGTTATCACACGGTAAGGCAATGATTCCTTAGTATAGAAGGCCAAGCAAGACCGCAGTTCCTAAGCATTGAAAAGCATGTCCCATTTGTGACGTCACCTGCTCTCCTGGACTGGCTACCAGACAACCTACTCCATCAGTATGTCTGCCTAGAAGGCCCTCAGGCAACCACTACACACTGGATTTCAAAGGTGTGCACGGTACCTGGGGCTTACTGTCTGCTGCCTGGTCACTGAACTTCTTGGCCAACCTAACTCCAATTGTGTTCAAGGCAACAGTTGCTCCTGCTCCAAAAGACTTGCCCCCTCCCAGTCTTCTGCAACTAAACAAAGCTGCACGTGGCCAGTAAGATGTAAGTGAGACTTTACTGGGATTGGGGGGACTTCAGATAAGACTGTTCTGGTTTAAAGTGGTGGGGATGGGCTCAGCATCTTTTTGCTTGGTTTTTTTTTTTCTTGCTGAGAGCCACAAATTAAGGGGGCAGAGCAAGGAATACGAGAAGCAGCTATGATAGTCTGTAGGGTTCTGAAACCATCTGTACTTAGGCTCCCTGATACCTGGGAATAAGTGAGTTTCTATCTGGCTAAGACACTGTAGTCATATCTGTTCACTGTGGACGAACGTTATTCCTGATGGGTATGTACACCGTAAGACCCACTAGGGATTTAGACTCATCATTACCAGCCTGCCCAAGGAATAATGCTCTAGGTTACACAGGGTAGTTCCTTCACTTACTTTTTGCAAAATCAGAGCTGCTTAGATGGGGAGAGGAACTCTCAAACTTTTGCAAACAAATTTACCTCAACTCTTATTTACTTTGAAAACAGAGGGACAAGGAGCAGCAAGTGTCTGCTGGCTCAAAAAGTTTCTTTACAATAAGTAGCTGAGAGTGGAGGCATGTGCCTATAACCCCCACACTTGGGAGGCTGAGGCAGGAGGAATATAATTAATTATCAGGTTAGACTTGCTATAGCACAGTCCTGTCTCGGAAGAACAACAACAACCAAAATGACCCGAGAGGGGCAACAGCGCACATGAGTGAGTTCCTAAAAATAATTTGGCCGTTACCCTTGACCCCAGGAAGGCACAGCTCAGGATTTCTCTGACTATAACACGCCCATGAGGAAGTTGTGCTTCTGTAAGGGCATCTGCCCTTCTGGTCCCACTGAGATCTTTCTTCTCAAACCATCAGTGAAAGTCAATTAAGTACGTCCTGCAACACACAACATCAGCAAAGCAGACCAGACATCAGTGGAATGAGGAGAATCATTCTAAAGGCTCTTCAGGACCAGGAGACTCTCAGAGGTGCTACAGAATCCTTTACCTATTCTTGGAAGAGGCAGGGACAGAGACCCAGTGTGGGCAGCTCTTGACCCAGTCACATGCAGTGTGGGTGGAAATATCAGTCTCAGGAGGAGGAGAAGAGGCACGGTAGACTACAGGCATGCCACGTACCTCCAGACTATAAGAAATCATTATCTCTGACTTTAATGGTTCATACTCCATACAGAAAACTCCATTGGGTAGCTAATAAATACGTGAAGATGCATATCATCTCTATCACAGAAGGGAATGAACACTAAAAGTACATGGAGAGCTCATCTCGCCCTAGTCAGAATGACCATCCCCAGAAAAGCAGATGCTGCTGAGGATGTGGGGGAGAAGGGTGTTGATGGGAATGTAAACAATCCCAAGCAGCAAAGAAATCAGAATGGAGGGTTCCTAAAAGCAGAAGTACCAAATGATCTAGCCATACTACTTCTGAGCATATATACTCACAAGAACCAGGGTTAGCGTACACTAATATATACCCACGCGCTCGTGTTCACCGAAGCACCATAGACAAGTTATGGCACTGGCCTAGGTGCCCATCAACAGATGATTGAATAAAAAATGCAGTAGAGATACACAGTGGAGCTTTCTTAAGTCGCAAAGAATGAAATCATGTTGTGTACCGGCAATCATCCTGCCGAGCAAGTAAGGCATGGTCGCAAAGAACGGCCTCATGTGTTTTGTCATACATGGAATGTGGGCGGGAAGGAAACAAGGAAATAAAGGGTACCGTTAGGGATGTGGAAGAAAGATGGGTCCATTAAATCCCAATGCTTAACACATGCCTGAGTGTTTAGGCTGAAAAGAATACAGACATCACATGGATGATGACATATAGGGTAGAGAGAATACAGACATCACATGTATGATGAGATGCAGGGTAGAGAGAATACAGACATCACATGTATGATGACATATAGGGTAGAAAGAATACAGACATCACATATATAATGAGATACAGGGTAGAAAGAATACAGACATCACATGTATGATGAGATACAGGATAGAGAGAATACAGACATCACATGTATGATGAGATGCAGGGTAGAAAGCTGTTGGTGAGGAGCTCAGTGCACGTGAGTTTTAAATCCAGGGTCTCATACACACCACGCAAGCGCTTACTCACTGAAATACACACTCTTCCTGACAACATGGAAATCTGTCATGGAAAGATGTCTCCACCCCAAGAGAATAGCACCAAGTATAAAAAAAAATTTCTAAATTCTCTAGAAGTGCAACATAGCGGAATTAAAAACCCAATTTTCCAATATGATCAAGTAAAAGAAAAAAAACACCCTAATCTTTACAAACAGTTTTGTTTATAGCTGGCCACTTTCTTTCCCTGGATCTCTTAAAGGTAATTCCAAATCTACCCCACTGTCCCCATGTTCTCTGTCTAGTTACCCTTTAACTTACAGAACAGAGACAAGGTTGTCATAGCACCCAAATGATGGAAGACGTCAGGCCTGATCACCCTTGCCTCTTCTAGATCCTCTCTCTATTATCCTTCTGTATTCATGCGTCCTGGTTGCCTTCCTGTTCAAGATTCCACTCCCCTTGATGACAGTGTTGTTGATCGAATTCCCCCCCCCCCCCAAATTCACTACCTTCTCTCACCTGAACCTTTAACCTCTCCTCACAGAGGGTCCTTCCTTCTACTCAACCTAGGAACACACCAGCTTCCATGATTTCGCCTTACTCTTTGCTCACTGTCTTCCCTGTTCCCCTTCTCATCTCGTTCCGATTTGTCTTGCTACCATGAATGACATTTCTGCTATAGTCTAGGAGCATGTACTTCTTCTCTAGGGAAGAAACTGCAGCACGAACCAAAAAGACAAAGAAGTAGAGACTCAATGAATTGTAAAGACTATCTTTAAACTCGATTCTCAAAATACTATGAAAACCCCAAAACAGTGACAGAGATGGGCATGAAAGTTATTTATAAAAGATTAGTTTTTTACTATATATAAGCTTTGGATTTACAGAAAACCTACAATAAATTATCTTTTACTATAATGATATGTAGGAAATATGATAAGTCATATCAAACATTTCCAAATATATTTTGGATTTTGAAATGCTTCTATATCTACATGAATATCTCTAAGCTCTTCCTACCCCCAGATTCTAGAGATAAAGTAAAAACAAATAGGAAAAACCCTTCTCAAAGACCCCACTACAGTGCTAACCAACTCAGGGCAGTTAAACATAGACATGAAATTTACGGAGAAAGATTTCCATGATAGTCTGTGTCAGAAAAATGAAAAGTCATGCTTACAAATATCCCTTTGTTGCAAAGTAATTCTGTTTCCTCTCTGTATTGGTGGGGGGGAGGTAGGAAAATAAACATAAGATGATTTTCAATTTACCCCTTGGACATAAATTGAGAACAACTCTGACTCCATAGCGGGTCACAGAGAAGCAGGTTCAGCGGTGGCTGCATTCAGGAATTGGACATTCAACCTAGTTAGGTTTGAACGAAAGCTGCTAAACTCCATGTGTGGGCAAGGCTCACACCTTCAGCAGAGACTGCGTGGCTCCGCTGAACAGTCGTGATTGACGACATGCAGCACAGGGTTGCTGGACTCTCACCCGGACATTGAACGCTTG